TGCAGGGAAAAATTAAGTTGGGCTGAGACAATGAAATGAATTGAGGATAGAGTATCCACACACGCCTGACAGCCAGGAAAGTAAGCAGGTGGAGGCTCTGGGCCCCATGGGACAGAGGCACAAAGTGATCTTTGATAAATCTGGAGAGGAACTGGACAATACATCCTAAGTTAAAAAAAAAACAGAAGAGGGGGCATAGGGAGATGGCTCAGCCGTTAAGAGCACTGGCTGCTCTTGCAGAGGACCCTTGGGTTTGATTCCCGGAGCCCACATGGCTCTAACAACTCCAGTTACAGGGGATCCGAGGCCATCTTCTGGTCTTTTGAGGAATTGCATGACACAGGTGCACTTATGTACATGTAGGCAATATACTCATACACATAAAATAAAGATAATAAATTAAATATTTAAAAAAAATACAGAGGGGCTGGAGAGATGGCTCAACGGTTAAGAGCACTGACTATTCTTGCAAAAGACCTGGGTTTGAATCCCAGCACTCACATGGCAGCTAACAACTGTCCATAACTCCAGTTCCAGGGGATCCGACAGCTTCTTCTGTCCTCTGCAGGCATTACACGATATGGGTGCACTTACCTACATGTCGGCATAACACTCATACACATAAAATAAAAATAGTAAATAAAATATCCAAAAAAAGTTAGAAAAGAGGAAACAATACAGAAGAGCCTTTTTACCAAGATGGCGCTGAAAGCGAAGAAAGAAGCTCCTGCCCCTCCAAAGCCGAAGTCAAAGCAAAGGCGCTGAAAGCCTTTGCAGCGTTGAAAGGTGTCTGCAGTCACAAAGAAAATATCCACATGTCGTCTACCTCCCAGCAGCCCAAGACCCTGTGGCTCAGGAGGCAGCTCAAATACCCTGGCAAGAGCACCCCTAGGAGAAAGAAGCTTGACCACTCCGCCTTCATCAAGATCCCGCTGACCCGAGTCAGCCATGAAGGCAGAAGACTACTTGTGTTCCCTGTGGATGTCAAGGCCAACAAGCACCAGATCAAACAGACTGTGAAGAAACTCTATGACATTGATGTTTCCAAAGTCAATACTCTGATCGGGCCTGATGGAGAAGAGAAGGCCTCTGCTCCACTGGCTCCTGATTAAAATGCTTTGGATGTTGCCAACAAAATTGGGATCATCTAAGCAATCCAGGTGGCTAACTGTAAATACACATTTGGATTATTTTTTTCCCCCAAAACAGGGTCTCTTATATCCCAGGCTGGCCTCAAACTCGCTTTTTATCTGAAGATGACCTTGAACTTCTGATTCTTCTGTGTTCACCTCCCAAGTGTTGAGATTATGAGATACAGTACCATGCAGTTAATACAGTGCTGGGGATGGACCTTGGGCCTTGTGTATGCTAGGCAAGCACTGTACTAACTGAGCCACATTCTCAGCCCAAGAATCAGGTTTATGGGTGACAACAGCACATGTACACTGTCTTCGAGATGGGAACTATAACAATAAATTTATGATGACCCTGAGGAAGGGTCTTAGAAAACTCAGGTTCAAGAGATGAAGTACTCACGTTGAGAATACATTATAAATAAAGTGAAGTAAAGCACCAGCTTGCTTTTTTTTCTTCTGGCAACTGCAAATTGTTAAGCTTTTTGCCATTTGGAACCCTCTGGCTACAGGTGCCCCACATCCCTAGATGATGGTACTGTTTTCCCTCTGGTTGGCCTAGACTCCACAATGAGAAAGTTAGGAAGAACCCTCAGGGGTTCTTAGTGCTGGCTAGAGACTGAACAACTTGAGGAATACTAAAAGCACTGGTACCTGGGACCCAGATCCAGAGTCGCAACTTATCCGGTGTACAGAGCCCCCAAGTAATCCAGTCACATAGCCAAGGCTGAGATACTTGAAATCAGTGCTTCTCAAACCAGACTCATGTGAAGATTCTGACTGAGGAGGTCAGAGAGGAGCCAGAGTCTGAACGCTAGCCTGGATCAGGTGATGATAGCTGCTGGTGCCAGACCACACTCTGAGGAATGAGGGCTTTGAGTCCTTAGACTGAGCTCTGCTCAAGGTGTGGTCCAAACACAGTATTGCCTGGGAGCCTGACAAGTAGAATCTCATCTTATACCTACTGAATTAGACTCCTCTAGAGAGGGGCTCACAAAGAGACTCCCAGGTAATTGAGACACCTGGTAGACCTGGAGTCATTTGCTCTTAGGTGGTCATTTAAAAAAGTTCCAAGAGTAAAACAATCAATCACCCTAGGGTCTGGAGAGATGGCTCTGTGGTTAAGAGCACTGGCTGTTCTTGCAGAAAACCCGAGTTCAAATCCCAGCACCCTACATGGCAGCTAACAACTGTCTGTAACCCCAGTTCCAGAGGATCTGATGCCCTCTTCTGTCCTCCACAGGTACTGTACAACACAGGTGCACTTACATACATGTAGGCATAACACTCATACACATAAAATAAAAATAAATAATTTTTTAAAAAGAGAATGACCTCAGGCTAGGGATGTGGCTCAGCCAATGGAGTGTTTGTCTAGCATGCATGGAGTCCTGGTTTGGTCCCCAGCATTGCATAAACTGGGCATGGTGGCACGTGCCTGGAGGTGGAGGCAGGAGGAGAAGAAGTTTGAGGTCCTCCTGGGCTACTTAGAGGGTTTGAGGCCAGATTGGGTTAGAGACCCTGTCTCAAAACAAACTAAAAATCACCCTATGTTTACAAAAAATAGAGGATTATGAAATAACAATTTTAGGACAGTAGCTTGGGAGTCTGCACTATAGGAAGAATACCACATCCTTCCTGGGAGTTTAGGTCTAAGAGAGCCTGTTTTGTGGGGCTTGTTGGTGGTCACCCCTTGTCCTGTCCCCACAATGAAAGTGTTCCTGTCAATTCCAGCTGCACTGATAGTCATGGGCAGTCTGGCAGGAGAGAGATGGGTGTGTTTGGGGCAGGCCCAGTGATGGGAGTGTCCATGGAGGAAGAGGAAATTGGGTGAGAACAGGGGAAATTCTCAGATCCACAGTTTGGTGCTGAGGATCAAACTCAGGGTTCACCATGCTGAAGACATGTTCCACCACTGACCAACACCCCAACCCCTGGTTTTGAGGCTTATTAGCACTAACTGATGGAGCCTCCATCTTGCCATGCACCTAGTGAGGAGAGAGAACAGGGACTAGAAAGCAGCTTCTTGGGTAAGCAGCTACTTCAGGCCCCAGAAGAAGTTTTTGTTTTCCCTGCCCATGCCATGCTACAGTATTCACTAGACAAACAGGGCAAACCTACACTGCAGTTTTGAATATTACATTAAATCACTCAGCCTTCTTAAAATACAGACAATGGGGATCTAACTCAGAGTTTCTGATTCAGTGGGACTTCTAACAAGCTCTCAAGTGATCCTGGGTCACCTATATGGAGGAGGAACTGGGAATGGCTCCTATCTAAACATGGTTACATGGATTTGTTTATTTCATAAATATGTGTAAAGCAATTTTGAAAGTATTTCAGATATGTTACAGGATTCATCAAATTGTGTGTGTGTGTGTGTGTGTGTGTGTGTGTGAGAGAGAAAGAGAGAGAGAGAGAGAGAGAGAGAGAGAGAGAGAGAGATACAGAGAGAAAGAATTGAGTGTCAGGGTTTTCACAAAGGGTGTTCAAATAGGAAGGAGAGAAAGTTAAAAAAGTCTGTGGGAATATTCTGCAATTGTGGGTGTAGGTACTGGTATGAACTTGTGATTTTAAAAGTATGTGTGTATACACACACACACACACACACACACACACACACACACACACACACACACAAAATGGCTCAGCGGGTAAAGGAGCTTGTTGCCAAGCCTGATTTCTTGAGTTTGAACCTCAGGACTTACATAGTGGAAGGAGAGACCTAACTTCCTCCTCTGACCTCTATATGTGCCATAATATGAATGTGCATGCATGCATACATACACACATAAATAAATGTGATGAAATGTAAAAATATAAGTATGTTCATGTGTACATGCATGTTATATATGTTTGAGTGTGTCTTTGTATATGTGCATATAAATAGCTATGCATATGTTTCCCAGCTTTATCTCAGAGAGTGGAAAAGCAAAGCCATGTTAACTGCATAAGTAAACCTAGCTCCCAGGTTTTCTCAGTCTCTAATGCCCACCAACAGAAGTCAGGGCTCCTCAAAGAAGGGTGAATTCAAGGCTTGAGGCAGAGAAAGGACCAGATGAGCTTGGAATATACTTTTATGCCAGAAAGTTAAAAAAGAAAAAAAAAGTAAAAAAAAAAAATAGGGGCTGGGTGTGGTGGTGCTCACTTTAACCCCAGCACTTGGGCGGCAGAGGCAGGTGGATCTCTGTGAGTTTGAGGCCAGCCTAGTCTACATAGTAAGATCCTGTCATAAAAAAAAAAAAGTGAGAATGTGTCAGAGAACACAAAAGCTACACCGAAGGGGTTCCCATCAGCCAAATATAGGACAACTTGAGAACCAAAATACTTTAATGTATATTAATATTGGGCTGGAGATATGGCTTAGTGATTAAGAGCCTCTTGCAGAGGAACCAGGTTCAGTTCCCAGGACCCAGATAATGATTAATAACCATCTGTAACTCCAGTTCCAAGGGATCCATCCTCTTCTGGCCTCTGTGGGCATTGATGCACATGGTATACTTACATACACACAGGCAAACACTCATACAGATTGAAGAAGTACAGTAACATATGTAATACAAATTACTGATAAAAAAGAAATGTGTGAGTACAAACCAATAGCAAGTGGGCAAGAGAGAAGGCAGGGGTGTTGCTGACAGCAGAAGACTGAGGATAGCCCCTCTGACATGCAGAAGCCCTGAGAATGGGGATCCAGATTAGGCAAGAATCAATGGATGCTAAAATGAGAGAAAATTTGAAGAGTTGGATATTTGCATGGTTTTAAAGTGTCTCCCCATGGACTGCTTATTGGAAGGTAGGAAAAAGGTCCCAGTGATCATACAGTGGAGAATTAGATGACACTTCAGGTAGTTAAAACACACTCACCAGTTGAGTGAGGAATGAACAGTTGGGGGCCTCCAGATGTGGTCCTCAGAGAAGGCACACTGCCACCCATGCCGCTTTCTGGGTAAGAAAGCAGAAGCTCAATGGAAACACAAGAAACAACAGAACACACAGGAGAATGAACGCATTCCAAACAGGGACTGGGAAAAAAGCATCCTGGAGATGGCTCAGTGGGTGACAACCTGAATTCAATCCCTGGGACCCTGCTGAGCCATCTTGCTGGCCCCTTATATATGTACTTTTTTTTTTTTTTTTTTTTTTTTTTTTTTAAAAGGGTCTCCCTGTAGCCCCAGTTGTCCTGGAACTCATTATGCAGACCAGGCTGGCCTCAAACTCACAAAGATCCACCTGCCTCTGCCTCCCAAGTGCTGGGATTAAAGGCGTGCACTACCATGCCTGGCCTATACATGTACTTTAAAAAAGCTAGAAGTGGGGCTGGAGAGATAACTTGGTGGTTAAAAGCACTGGTTGCTCTTCAAGAAGACCCAGGTTCAATTCCTAGCACCCATATGGCAGCTAACAGTCCGTAACTCCAGTTCTAGAAGAATCCAACTCCCTCTTCTGATCTCTGTGGGCATTGCACAACATGGGTACACTTACACACATGCAGGCAATATACTCATAGACATAAAATGAAAATAATATAAGATATTTTAGAAAGCTTAAAGAAAACAAACCAACATACAAACACATCGTATCTCTTGGTTATAGAATTAGGAGCAATTTGCTCCTGTTTTCTTGTGATGCTTCATATTTTCTAATTTTTCTACCCACACCTCTAGCTCTTAGAGGAAAACAATATCTTTGAAAGAGGAAAACAAATGTTTGGTAAAGTTTCATGTATAATGGTGTAGGTTGTTGTGCTACTCAATAACAGAAAAAACCCCAAAACTTAAAACCAAATAAAATGAAAACCCCTGAATATAAGCGAAATACTCAAGGACAGAGACTTGTGGAGAGGACATATGACTTACACTACTTCTAAAATATAAAATCATAAAGCTTCACCTTCCTGACTAGTTTATAGACCAATGTGTTTAAAAATAGAAGATTGATTAAATAAATTACAGCAGAACTCTAAAATAGAAGAGGATGTTACAGGATATTTTCTGGCACAGACTGCTCTGTGAGCAAAGGTGTAGCCTGTGCCTCCTCTGCTGCCTTGCAGATTATAAGCATCCTATTTCTACATATTGAATGAATGAATGAATGGATGGATGGCATGCATGATGGGTTTGGTGGAATTTGGCAGTGGTGGAATTACTAGGGGTTATTATTGTCTCTGTTACTCTTTTGTGTGTTTTAAAATACTCCATCATAAATTTAACAACATGATAATCTTTGTTAAAATTTTTAATTTTTAATTTTGTGTCTATGTGCAGGTTTGTTCATGTGAGCACAGTGCTCGTGGAGGCCAGAAGAGGGAGACAGATCCCTGGAGCAGGAAGTACAGATGATTGTGATCTGTAAGGCCAGAAAATGCTCCTAATTACTGAACCATCTCTCCAGTCCCCAAGTGATTATTTATTTTAAAAATTATAAAATAGTATGTATGTAATGTTCCACTGGAAATAGACTGGAAGGCTTTTTGCACACAGACAGGCTGACTATCTGCATGGGAGTGTTACATGTGGGTCTTGGGTTCTTTTTGCCTAACTACTGTGTAATACTTTTGCCACAAGAAAGTAAGTTGCTATTTTTGAAATTAGAAGGTAAAATATATATTGTAAAAATAAGATACAAGGTGCTTGAACTTGGTTGGTTAGTAATACCTGGCAAAATAATATTTTACAGAGGCTGTACCATGACAAAAGTGAGGAACAGGGTGCATATACATATTATAGCAATTAATTTCCTGGAAAACTCTACCCATGTGTTTAAGGGGGTATTCTAAAATGATACTGTAGTTGTGTCTGGGCACTTAAAATAAGGGACTAGAAGGTAGCTACACTGTGTTATATGAGCTTCAAGGCTAAACAACTTTCAAGCATTGGGTTGTCTTTCTTTTTTTAAATTACTTTTGGTCTTTTTGAGACAGGGTCTCCCTGTAGCCCTGGCTGTCCTGGAACTCACTTTGTAGACCAGGCTGGTCTTGAACTCACAGAGATCTGCCTGCTTCTGCCTCCCAAGTGCTGGGACTAAAGGCATGTGCCATCATGCCCAGCAAATTACCTTTTATCTTAAATTTTTTTTTATTTTTTAATTAGTCAATGTGTGTGGGTATGGGCACATGAATGTAATGCCTATGGAGGCCAGAAGAGGGTGTCAGATCCTCCTGGAGCTGGAGTTACAGGTAGTTGACAGTCCTCGCAGGTGCTGGGAACCAAGCTTGGGTCTTCTGCCAGAGCAGTATGCGCTCTTAACTGTGGAGTCATTTCTCCAGTCCCTAAATTATCTTTAAAATAAGACTTGGAGTAAAGCAAACACCATTGAAGACTCAGGATCATTTCCCACCCACTTAGAGGGAGGTCACCCCTTAGTGCTTCTCTGCTGTGCCACTTAGCCTGCCATGCTGAGAAGAACTTTATGAAGCATGGAAAGAGATTTCTAGAGCGTCAACTGTCAGACAAGAGGATCAAACAAAGCAAAAAGCTTTAGCTAATTTCCCTAGAAACTTACAGTTTTCAAGATAGAAGAACCCCAGGATTATTTTAAAAGAGGAACATCCATACCATACATAGCCCCCGCCCTGACTTTCTTCACATGCTTAAAAAAACAGTCTCTCTGTGTATCCTTGAAGAACACAGAAGAAACTGGTACCCAAGTTTCCATCCCTGTACAGTAACAGACCCTTTTTGTATGCGAATATCCTTCCAACCTATTCCTGATAGGATGATTCCTGCATACTATTTTAAAATTTAAAGTGCCATGTTATTAAATTTATGGTGGAATACTTAAAAACACAAAAGAATAATGACAACCTTAATAACTAGAAAATAGGTTGGGAAGAAAAATTTGTTTTCTCTGTATACCTACTTACAATATTTAATTTTTAAACTAATGGGTATACAGCATATATCAAAAAGTAATTATTAATTAATTGCAAAAAATCCTTTTTAAAATTTGGGGCTCATGGGTCAATCATGCGAATAACTAGAATAAAGAAAAGCAGGATTCCCTTTCTGGGAAAGCATACTCATATTTAGAACACTCTTCCCAGCACAGGCTGATCCAGGACTCAAACCAAGACTTGCCAACAGGCCTGTGCTTAGATCTCCTTTCCTGTGGCATTTGCTGATAGAAGGCTCCTGGTGCCCTGTTCTTTGTTTCCCTAATAGCAGGGATGGATGTAATTAACCCCTTACATTGGTTCTTTAAGGATTCCCTTTCCCCACAGGCAGCAACTGGCTGGAATCAGAGGGACCAACACTGTCCATCCATATTGGGAAGTGGAAACTTGACTGCAGGAGTGAACCCAGAAACTCAGCAGCACCAACCTCTCATTATTGAGTGACTCACTTGGGTAAGGCTAAGGCAATCCCCCCAGTCTGGTACCCGAAATCTTTACGTATACCAGAGAGCCCACCTGGCTCAAGAATATGAGAGTGTGAGGTGTTTTTCAACCCTTTATCTGAACCACCACAGTTGCTCTGTGGGTAAAGGTGGATCCAGCTGCCCAAGGCAGGGCCACAGGAATCAGTTCCCCCTCAGGCCTACTCATGGGTTGTCTGCTCCATTTTATTTTGGAAAGAGCACTCAGATTTTGTCCATTTCCCCCATGTTTGCTGATCATTCCTCTTAGCAATTGTTCATCATGGCTATCACTCTTCCTCCTGTCCCCTCCCACCTCAGCATGCTTTCAAAAACACAAACCTGACCATTTCATTGCACAACTGCTTCCTTTAGCCCCTGCTGTCAGAGGCCCTTGGCCTGTATAGACACACAAGGCCTCAGTCATTCCGTTTAAGTTCTCTTCCTACTTTCCTCTCCTGCTCCTGCGAAATTATATTTCTACGTAGACTGTAGCACTCATCAGAGAGGTAGCAAGAGTTGTTTATCCGTCTGCACAATTCTGTGGGCTCCTTCAGGATGTGAAAAGTAGCTCCTAAGCCCAGGGCCTGGTAAATGAGGGCCTCCAGTCAGTGAGTGTTTGGGTGAATGAAGGAACAGGGGCCTGCTGAAGGACTTGCCATGGTTCTTCTCAGACTTTACATTTACAGGAACCTCCTGGGGATCCTGTGGAGACAAAGACTTAGATTCAGGAAGTTGGGGCTAAACTGAAGGTCTGCAGTTCCTAGGCATTCCCAGGTGAGTGTGCCCTTGAGTTCTGTTGGCCTCACTCAGAGAAGAAAGGACCCAATTTGTAATAACTTTCAAGTTGGATGAAAGTGTGAAATCAGCTATTCTTACAGAGATCTTGAATTTTTTCTTTTTTTTTTTCGGGGGGTGTCTTCCTGTAGCCACAGCTGATCTGGATTCCCTATGGAGACCAGGCTGGCCTCGAACTCACAGAACTCCACCTGCCTCTGCCTCCTGAGTGCTGGAATCAAATGCGTGCATCACCATGTCCAGCTGAGATCTTGAATTTTTGAGTGAACTTTAGAATTAAATAAAATCAAAAGAAGTTAAAGTTTTTATACACACATGCTGCTCACAGTGAGCAATGGTGCCACAGGCTATTCCAGAAATAAGAGAAAAGTAAATAAAGTTATTTGCTGTTAAATTCTTGGTACCAACTTTTTTTTGACACATGGCCTTACATAGCTCAGGCTAGCTTTGAACTCCTGATCCCAGAGCCTCAGCCTCAGAGTGCAGGGATCACAGGTATACAGCACCAGCTCAGGCTGCATCTGGGGAGCTTCCTCAATAAACACCTGACTCTTTCCCTGGAGCAATGTGAAAGGCTTGGTGCTCTGTTCCTGTCACTGAATCCACAGGATGCTTTTGTTGATGGGAAGGTGTTGCTGGGCTGAGGGAAGCTTCCAGCCTCATGGTAATTTAAATCCAAGAAACCAACAAGTATGGGCAGCCTATGCTGTAATCCTAGCACTGAGGAGACAGAGGCATGGGGATCAGGGATTCAAGACCAGTTTGGGGCATAGAGGGAGTTAGAGGCCAGC